CTCTTTTCGCACGCTCCAGTGCCTCTTCTAAAGTCTGTCGAACGCGTTCTCTCTCCTGTTGAGATTATAAAAATTATGCCTATGAGATTTTTATACCCAAACCAATATGTCACTTATAAGAAGGATAATTCCGTAATCAAAGACAGGAAAGTGAGTGATGTTTCTATATGACTGACAGTTGAATGAATTAATTTCGAGATAAATATCGACTATAAAGATAAGCTTTGAACGAGTTCGAAGAAGCAGTCTATCACGGGACCGTATAAGCAAGTTTATGCATCATAATTTCAATAGGTAGATAATTTCTGCTAATAGTCCGTGCATTCAGTAAATCGCAACACTTAAAATCCAAGAAGAGAATGACTGGAAAATTGCTGTCAAACTCAAAACTTAAATTCCATCAAAATTGGTTTGAAAACATTGAACATCCTATTTCTAAATAAAATTGGCAAGCGTTCGTATACTAAACACTAAAAAACGCTTTTTCTGGCTCAAATTGCTTGAAACTCTCTAGTCAACCTATAAGCATTATAGAATATGAGACTCTTGTTTTTCGTCCTGCTCATAAACACCTTTACTTTGATATTCTTGAACAACGTTTGTGCGACACCAATCGATCAAGCACGAGCACTGATAACCAAACAGAAAGTAGGAAAAGTTACAAAAACTGTACGTACCTGTTCTCTCAAACGTTCTTCCTCTCTACGCTTTCGTTCCTGCTCCGCTTCTTGCCTTGCCTTATCCTCTTTTACGCGTCTGATTTTCTCTTCTTCGTATCTTTCACGTTCGGCTTCTTCAGCTTCCATTCTGATGATAGCGGTAGCTTACAATCAACGATGACAATCTGATGTAATCAATTGAATCACCTTTTCTTTTCAGCTATCTGCTCATCAAAATCTGTCGTGGAGGTTCGTCTGTCGCTGTCGACAGTGCTACGTCGAGATAATGTGCCTCTTGTAGAAGAGCTATTCTCACGATCTTAACAGTTCCGAGTTACTCGCATGGTATGTTTCGCAACGAAACCACGAATACCAACTTTCTTGAAAGCCTTGCTCCATAGGAGATACGACAGCAACATTTGAAGAGTGTGGTTC